CCGGGAGCTGCAGTAACAGAGGCGGGGCGACGGCACACCGATGGCCTGGGTGGCCGGAGATGCTCCCAGACGCACCCGATGGCATGCGTTAAGTATGTACAGCTTCGTACATGTCAAAAAAACCAGTTTAATGTAAGAGTTTTTTAATTTTAAGTAAAAATTGAAAAGAAAAGGAAACTACTTTAAATAGCCTTGAGGCAGCTGGGGATGAACCCCGGGCTCCAGAGCCAGTCGGACGTGGGTTTAGAGGCCGGTCAGCCAGGACTAACTGCTGCCAGGAGGCCGTGCCACTCCCTCCCGCCTCCATCTCCTCCATCCTGACGCGGGGACCGTGCTGGCCCGTCAAGGTGCCATGCATGTCCGAGGCTTGCGACAGTATTTGGCAAGCGTGCAATGCAAGTCCTTTGAGGGTCAGGGCGCAGCCCCGGGGGTAGGGTGCATGGCTAGCATGCACGAGGTCCTGGGTTCAATCCCCACTACCTCCATTTAAAAAAAAAAAACTTTAAATAAGTAAAACATGTGAATAGGCAATATTTTCAAAGCTTTAAAACAAACAAGTTATATGAGATACAGAATATGTGTAAGCACATCTGACTGCCCTTTATGACTAGATTACCACATTCTGTTGTTTCTTACTTTGTAGTTGGCTTTATTCCTTTGATAACTATGTAAGTTTAAAAAGCTACAGATCTAATCTGTTCTTAGGAACAATCATTAGTACATATATGAAAACTAAAAAAATGTGCAGTATACTGTTATATGTATTTACATGCAATATAATGCGTAGGTGCAGTCGAACTGTAATAATTCTACACAATAAAACTGGAAAAAATAAACATTAGTAAGAAAAGTTATGAGATATAATATCAGATTTAATATATTATAAATATATAATTTTATAAAATACCTGTTTATATAATTATATAATACATATTGGTATTACATAACAGATTCTATGTAATATGTTGTCATTATATAACAAGATATATATTACATATGGTTATGTAATAGGCAATAGGATGTATTATAGTAAATTATATCATTATAAATATTAATATATCATATTAAATGTGATAAAGTGTAAGTTATATGTCATTTTATAAGTATAACTGCACATGTATATTAGTTCCCATTATATGCATATTAACTACCTAATAGTATCCTGGTTCTGTGAGGTCAGTGCGAGGCTCAGATTCCGTGGCCCTCCACCATCACCGCCAGCTGGGATGCCCCTCAAGAACCTGGGCCTTTCCCAGCCTTTCACACTCACCTGAACAGCACCCAGTCCCAGGAAATTTCAGCTCTCCACCCGCTCCACTCCCGCGCCCAGAAGCAGCATCAGCCAAAGAAGAAAAGCCCTCCGTGGTGGACTCTCACCCCCGCCACCACCCCTGAGTCCTTCCATCCCGGATGCACCTGCTCAAGCAACGTCTCTGCACGGTTGGTCAACAGGCGTCTCACGCCCCTATGTGCCAGTCCAAACTCCTTACCCACAAACCCCCTCACCCCCCAGTCCTCAGTGTGTCAAAACATGGCACCACCCTTCCCCCGGCTGCCCGAGCCCATCACCTGGAGGGGCGCCGGGTTCCTTTCCCTCCTCAGCCACCTCCAGTCCGTCAGCAAGTACCACCGGCTCTCCCCTCTGATACGTCCCGGAGTCCTGCCCGCCTCGCCCGGGCCAGCTCCCTCTCAGCCCCAGGCCTGGTCCACAGGCACTTGCTTCTGCTTGCACTCTGCCCCTCACCACCGTCCATCCTTCGACAGCAGGCTGGGTGACCTCTGAGAGTTCGCCCGAGTATGTCACTGTTGAACCTCCAAACACAACACAGATTCCTCCCCAGCCTGGGCGGACCCAAGGCATCCTCCTGCCCCCTCACTACTCCCTCACTCACATCACTCCAGCCACACTCGTTTCCTTGTTCCTACAACACCCCAAGCTCATTCCAACCCCAGGACCTTTGCCCTCCTGCTCCTTCCCTCTGCATGCGGCTTCCTCCCCAGCAGTCATCTCTGCTTCAAACACCACCTCCTCAGATCGGCTGCTGAGCACAGACCTCGCTGAGAGCCAGTGCCACCACTCTGTCTCCTCGTGTCTACTCTGTCTTCATATCTGAACCGCTGTTGTCTGTGTCTTACTCGTAGACCACGCCCTCCACACAGGCAGGGAGCATGCCTGTCTGACCCACCACCCCGACCTTGGGGCCAGCTCTGTGTCTGCAGAGAGGCGCTCAGTTACTGGTGGACCAAAATATCCTAATTTCCTGGGATCCTTGTTAAGGCTGAATCACTTGGCACAACCTGCAGAGATTAATTGAACAAATCCGGGGTTCTGCTCAGAATCGACATGTAGGTCGATGCCCAGCACACTGAGCAACTGCTCAGTGATGTGAGTGGATCCCATGTGGAGGCGTCACTGTCCTCCTGATGCCTAACCCCGTGGACAGCCATTCCCAGAAAGGGAGGTGGGAGGAACTTACACCAGTCTCTCCAAGACGCAGTCGGGGTGGGCCAGGGAAGCACACAGCGGCTCCACACCATCATCTTGGAGCGGATTCAACCCCAGGCATAGCCGAGTCACCCCCTGGGCGCTGGTAAGAAGCAGGGCCAGGTCCTGACAGCTGGCCACTGACAGGTTGCACTTCTCCAGCCTGCGGGAGGTGAAGGTGCCAGGTGGGCCTCAGCTCTGCCCGGGTCCTTTTTTCTTTCTCATACTCTCAGCCCCTGGGGCCACACCTCTGGGACCCAAAATCATGGAAGGATGAAACTGGATAAAGAACAAAGCTTCAAGAAGGAGGAGAGGGTGGGTGAAAGGGAGATTGCTCGGTCTCAGTCCTACTGACCTCCGGGCCAGACCAGCCTTCACTGTGCGGGGCCTCCAGTGCACTGTAGGGGGCTGACTGTACCTACTCTGTACCCACCTGACGCCAGGAACACCCTCCCCTCCCCAGCTGTGAAAACCAGCACATGTCCAGACTTTGCCAAATGTCCCCTGGGGGACACAATCGCCCCTCGTTGAAAACCACTGTGTTTAGAAGAGGCTGGCAGAGCCTAAGGGGGTTACACATAGAAGCTGACGGTCAAGGTTCCCCAAACCAAGGTGAGGGCTGAGGCTGAGCCCAAGGAGAAGAGGGAGAAGGAAGGTGACAAGAAGGGTGTCAGTGGGACAGGCAGACTCAGCAGGGGCTCCCCGGGGCTCCCCAAAACATACTCCCGCTGCCGCTCCAGCTTGCAAAGGAGGTGTTTTGAACAAGCGGGAGGACTTACGATAGCTCCTTGAGGGGACACCTGGACGTCCCAAACGGCCCCTGCAGTCTTTTCACCTCGGTGTTAGAGAGGTCGTTGTCGCCCAGGCTGAGGAACCGCAGGCTGGAGTTCTCGCCGAGTTCCGCAAAGAGCTGATGGCAGGCCCAGGTGGTGAGGCCACACGACTCCAACCTACCGAGGAGGCCCCGGGTCAGGCAGTCACTCCTGGGAGGGTGGTCTTGGTTTAGAGGCCCCCTCGCTCCATGATTCTCCCTGTTCTCATCCCTTCCAGGGACAGGCGAGCTACGCCCTTGTACATCCATGCTACTCAGTGCAGTCCACAGCCCAGCATCACCTCGGGGGCTGTTAGAAATGCTCGCTACCAGGCCCCAGAGTAGGCCGGCTGGATCTTGGGGGTGGGTTTCAGGAACCTGTGTTGTAGCATGCCTGCTCGGTGACCCTGACATACTTCCAGCTTTGAGAACCACCGCTCTACACGCGTGCACTTCCCTCCTTTGCTCGTCTTTCTCTGCGCCCTTCCACGGCAGTGCTGACTCCTGCCCTCCCAGTGAGTCGTCCCACCTAGGTGTGAGGCTGGGGACAGAGCTGGGGAACCAGAGACTGACCACAGATACTGGAGGTTGCAGGCTGAGTGCCTCAGAGTTCTGAAGATCATCGCGGACACGGTGATTCCCAGGTTGTTGCAGCTCAGGTCGAGGTGGGTCAGCCTGTGGTTCCCATGCAGAACGAGGACGAGCTCCTTCAGAACCCGCACGGGAGACACCGACCTGCACCTGAGGGCGAGAGGCAGCGGGAGGGGAAGGCTGCTTCCCCGTCCGGCCTGTCCAGCACACACACCCTTAAGGATGTACGAGACTTAAGAGAAAGTGAGAAACCTTTGAGGAGGCAATCTAAAATATACTCCCAAGTCAAAATTCATCAACTTGTGCCTCTGAAATACGTGTAGTTTACTGTGCAGGAACCACACCACAATGAAGGTGTTAAAAATTAAAATGAAATAAAATATACTCCCAAAAGAGCCGCTAAGCTCAGGTGGATGTATGGAGTCAAGAATCAAGCCTGCCCCCGCTTCTCCCCTAATCTGCTGTTAAGATGTCCTGGGCCTGCCTCCTCTTCCAGGGAGGTGCCCCTCCCTACGCCAACCCCGCGAGCCCTAGTGAGAAACCTCCCTCCTTCTGCTTGTGTCCTGAGCTTGCTTCTCCTTACCTTGAGAACTAAGTTATAGAAGTAAAATGGGGGCGAGGGGTACAGAGAAGGCGGCTGTTGCGCCTGCCTCCCAGGTATCTGACCCAGCTCACTGGACACACAGAAGTCTGAGGGCGGTTACTAGTGCCACATCTTCTGCTCTCAGCTCATTGAAGCAGTGCCTGCCTCTGATTTTTAGACCTCGAGGGATGACCTTGAAAATTGTGGAGGTGGAACAGGGTGGAATTCGCGAGCCTCGACTGCAGAGTATCTGACCGGAGGCCACCTCCAGTTCAGCTCTAAGTGTGACTCTCACTGGGTCCTCTAGCAGGTGATCCTCCCCTGGCCTCTCCGGCAAGGCCCGCCTTCTCCTGCCCATTCCTGCCTCCCTGGGAGCCGGCTCTGAGACCCTGCGCCCCGCACGCCCGTGGCGCCGTAGGAGGGGTAAGCGCCGGCCGGAGCTGCCCTTCAGCC